GAATAAAAATGTAAGAGTTTCATATTAATTCAATTTCGAGCCTACTCACATCATACATTTTCCATCCAACCTCTGGATCCCAGAGAGTATATCCAGGGTTCTTCAGAGTGGAGGGTGGGGCCACCCAAAGGAACTCATCCTTCCCTCTGTAAAGTTTCTACAGTCTAGGACTTAAACCAAAGCAACACAGCAGCCTTGCTTCCTGAAGTATGGAGCTGAAAATTGTGGGKTTTTTTTAAATTTTGGAAGATGTGTGTTTTCATCTGTGTGAGCACACRGCCCTGCAGTGACCCTCAGACTGAGCGGCTCACAGAGCTCCTGAGGGCACAGGAGGCAGCAGGGCAGGAGGGAAAGGCAAACTCAGGGCACCTTTGTTCTCCCTCCAGTTCTGACATAGTTCAGGGGCTTATGTAGCTCTTGGCAGCCACTGGAAAATAAAAAAAAAATCAAGTGACGGCTCTGTGTAACTTCTGCTCTTTGCTACAGCAGTGAGCAGCTGCAGGACAGAGTGTTTGGGATGCAGCCTCCATCCCTGCTCCGAGCTGGGGTGGATGTTCCTGATCCCAGGGGGCTGTGATACCCRGAACACTCAGCACACTCAGCTTTAAACCCTGCTCTCCCTGGCTGCCCAGTGTTCCTCAGGAACTTCTGAAACAACCACGTAAAGAAAAATTATATACCCCTGTTGGCATTTCAAGATAGATTCACAATTCACATAAACCCAGTGTCACCTCTGGCTAAAAAACACCCACAGAAACGGGGAAAATAAATTAAACTTTACMCTATAAACACCTGAAAATTCAGATAAAGGCACAGGGGAAGGAAGGCTTTCTTTTATAATAAAACTACAACTTTTTAAAAGGAAAAAAATCACACTGCTAGGTGCATGTGAAATATTAAAAAAAACCCCTCTTTTTAGGTGCTTATAATTGGCTAAATAAACACACACCTGAATTTCTATGYTACTGGGCTGATATTCAGTGAGTGCAAGCACACAGTTCCTAATTTTCTATGTTAGAAATAGAAAAATGTAGATGTCTCCCAAATTGTGGACACGAGAGAAAACTTTGTACATGAGCATWAATATTAATGCTCAGCAATCTGTAACTGCCACTGCAGAGGCTGAAGTACAGCAATACTGTAAGGGAATAAATGCCTCAGTATCCGTGAACTCCAATTCACTCCAGGCTGACCCAGTTCTTTTGGAAATAATCTTTTCTGGCCTGTTTGTCTGCTGACAGTCCAGGCCTTGGAAATACCTTCAACATACAGTGTTCTCCTTAAACTTTATTGCAAAAATATGTGGAGAGCATGGCATGTATCTCTGGCTTACCCCGTGGGAGCTGTCCATGAGCTCCAAAGGTGAAGAACACGTGTGCCACTCCTTTTCGTACAGAATTCCCAAAGAACATGGAAGTTTCTSCATTTTGTCACTCCTCGAGGAAACCTGACCCCCAATAACACCTGCACACAATGAGCACCCAAGTGAGGAAGTCATAAAGAGCCAGCTGCCCTTTATTGAAAATGCCCTTTGCAAACAACTTGCCGTACATTCTTTAGAGAGAAGCAGAACCGCCAGGATGCCACAGAATTCCACATCAGCTCCAGCACCATCAGATCAACAATCCTGAGCATCACGTTGAGCAGAAGCACATTTGCACTGGGACTGGGGCTGGGAAYGTGGCACGCTTACAATCACAGACACCGGGATACCACACACGCTTTCTTGCAATAGAACAAGCTTGGATTTTYAAAAATACAATCATTATGTACAGCAAAACATGTGGTCACAAGACCAGCCTTAAACCGAGGCCTTGTTTACACAATTTCTGCGATGTCACAAAGTATTTTGGCGGGAATGTGATTTTTCTTCCAAAACAAGTAAATATTTGCAATTCTCACTGTGAAAAGAGTGATATACCACCTCTGTATTGACACGGGTGTAACATATTCCCACAGGGAAAAGGAATAAAGAGTACCTTTATATTGATACAACATTTCCCTCAAGTGCCGAAGCTAATATAGCTTTCATCACTCAGTCAAGTTAATGCAGGATGATTTTTTTCAGACTTTTTAAAGACAAGGCCTATGTTTAACAAGCACCAAAACACTTCAGAGTATTTGGAAGATCAGACTACTGAGCTCTACACTTGGTACTGTCCTCACCAGTCACAGAGAACACTGAATGCCTCAATATATTCAAAACCCTGATGAGACAGTGCCATGGCCGCTTAAACGCTTCACTGTTTAACAAATACACCTTTTTGGGCAGAACTAGAATATAGCACAGAGCTCAGCTGGCTGCCCTCAGCTGCTGTGCCAGGCTTAGAAAAGCTGGACTTGGTGTGCTACAAACGCCTGCTTTTGCCTCATTCCTCAAGCACAGCTCTGGCAGTGGGGAAGCAGAGGCGCTGGAGAAGGTGAGGGATCTGCTGTCTCTTGGGAGGACACAATAAATACCTGTCTTTATCAACAATAAATACCTGTTTTTATCACCCAGAACAACTGTTGTCAGTGACTCAGCTAGAGCAAGGCCTGTTGGGTGCTAAAACAATGTACATTCCCATTGAATTTAAGGCAAAATTGAACCATGGCAGTCACTGAGATGTAAATTTATTTTTTTTAAACATCAGACATGCAGTTTGTAAGCTGCAGATGTGGCAGTAGTCRGGCTACCTTAGCTTCCAATGCAGTACCTGGGTTAAAAGAACCCCTTCCATCAGTGTTATTCCCCTGCCTCCCTAACATGGGAGTCCTCTGGCTTCTAAGGAGTTTTTAGGAATTTCTGGAAGATGAGCTGCAGTGAGGTTTTCAATTTTCACTTRGAAACRGGRRKTAAATGAATGTGTCTATTACAGGGRCAGCAGKGAGGGASCAGCACTGGGGTTCMCTTCTCCAGCCCTCCCAATTTTCCTGTGRTTGAGTCACTGGGATTGACACAGCCCCACTGATTGTACCCAAACAGTTCCTGCTGGAAGGACACGTGTGAGCTCAGGAGRACAAACACGCTTTCAGGATACAATCATTTACAAATTTCAGCAGATACTTGACATTGCTACAAAAAGTATCCAATTCTGACTAAATCACAAATAACTTTCATTTCAATCAAATGGATTTCAAAACGTGGCATCAAATTAACACTACACATTGTTCTTCTAGTGCTGAAGCACAAAGTTTTCCCACGTAAAACAGGAGAAATGACCAGATTCAGAGAAGAATCATGGTGGTTACCCTTCAGCTGGCCTGATTAAAAACCCCTTTACACATCATTCATTGCTCAACCTTTGTTTTTGAGATTCAAGACAATTTCAAGATTTCTTGGAAGAGGGGGAGAAGGAAAAAGAGAGCTGGAGGTTTTGTGTGCAAACCTTTAAAGAAGGGACAAATAAAGGAAATAAACAGAGGTAAACAAGCTCCTTGGATCTTCCAGCTGATGGGGGCACAGGTCTCCTGCCACCCCAGCCCCTCTGCAAACCAGAAAACAAAAAGCTCTGGTTTATCATTTTACAGTGATAATGCAGTAAGACTAAAAGTTTAAATTCCACCAATAAYTGACCTTTAGAACTTGACCCTGCTGCTCCCAGGAGGGAATAAGGGCCTAATCTTACAGGGCCTGTTGGAGTAAGGCCACACCACCTTCCTAAAGCTGCCTGAGTACAGCCTTCTTCTCACAAATGGGCATCAACTGGGCCAGGACTTGAATACAAGCAAAAACCTGCATCAGAAATTACTAAATATTAGCTAAAACAACAATCTTGTCGTTTGCCTTTTTTAACCACTGTTCTTAGCTAAATTGACCCCTCCACTTTTCACTGCTACTGGGTATAAACCAGGATTAAGAACCGGTGTGACAGTCAGTGTTTCATGTGATACAYAACAATGCACAAAGTTGTTTTCTAMAAAACAGCATTTGTATTAAAATTCTTAAAATGGATAAACATCTCTTCAATGCATGTGTGCAATTAAAATGACAGTTGTTAGAATTTTCTTGGTACATCACAAYGATGAGATTTTCTTCTTTGCTGGCTGGAGGTACATCCCAAGATGAAATCAAAGGGAAATAGAAAAAAAAACCCAAACAAAACAAACAAAAAAACAACCAAAAAAACCCCAACCCAAAACAACAAAAAATCCCCAACCCAAACAAAAAAAAAGAGCCTTTCCCCCCAAAATCCCAAAGGCTAAATTCTTGTAAATTTGAAGTAAATGAAGCCCRAACTTGCAAGACATGGAAATAACAGTTAAAAGGCTCAGATGAAAATAAGAAATAAATTCCACTAACAATAGGCCCTTTTGTCCTGGCTTGCTCGGTGTGATTACTGCAAGGAAACTGTTAAGTAGTTTTTGGAGTAGTAGATAATGGGATTCTGTGGAGCTTTCACAGGTTGGCACCGGCTGGAACAGCTGAGTTTTGAAGGCACTCTACAGACACAGRGCTGCTGTTGCCCTGCATCACTCATAGGAAGTCTTTGCCCTTGAGAGAGCTAGTCATCAAAATCAGGTATTGCCAACCCAAACCCAAAACCCCTCGGCACAAAAAGCACCACCGCCCCCCAMCCCCGGCCAAGGGAAAAACCAAAACCACAACGAAATCACACACACACGCACGCCTAAAAAATTGTGCAGATTTGTAACATTTTCACAGCTGATTTAAAAAAAAAAACAAAACAAATAAAACAAAACCAGGAGAAAAACCACCACGCTACCACTCTCCTGCAAACTCCCATCCGATACAGCAGGTAAACAAAATAGAGCATTATTCCAGGGATMTCGGCAGCGCTGCCCGGCGCCCCGAGCCTGGCAGCACCGTTCGGGTCCCAGTCCCAGTTCCATGTGCAACTCTGGGGCGGGACGGCCCCGCACCGCCGCCTGCTTGCATAGAGACCGGGGGAGCGGTGCCGCGGGCCGGCCTTTGGGCACGGCTACCCGGGCTGTGGGCACGGCTACCCGGGCTGTGGGCACGGCTGTCCGGCCTGTGGGCATCGCTCCCCGGGGTGTGGGTACGGCTGCCCGGGCTGTGGGCACCGCTCCTCGGGCTGTGGGCACGGCTGCCCGAGTGTGGGCACGGCTGCCCGGGCTGTGGGCACCTCTCCTCGTGTTGTGGGCACCTCTCTCCGGGCTGCGGGCATCTCTCCCCGGGCTGGCCGGGGTGCGGGCACCTCTCTCCGGGGTGCGGGCACCTCTCCCCGGGGTGCGGGCACCTCTCCCCGGGGTGCGGGCACCTCTCTCCGGGGTGCGGGCACCTCTCCCCGGGGTGCGGGCACCTCTCTCCGGGCTGGCCGGGCTGCGGGCACCTCTCCCCGGGCTGCGGGCACCTCTCTCCGGGGTGCGGCACGGCTCCTGGCCGGGGTGCGGGCACCTCTCCCCGGGGTGCGGGCACCTCTCCCCGGGGTGCGGCACCGCTCCTGGCCGGGCTCCCCGTGGCTGTCCCGGGCGGGTTCCCCGCGTGGCTCCGCTCCCCGGGCGGCGGGACCGGCTGCTCCAGCGCCCGCCGCCGACACTGACAGGAAATATGCCATGACCAAGACTGGACGAAACGTACATGCCGAGAAAAGCCACATTTCCAACACGATGAAATTTTTGCCGATGTTATTTCCCCGAGCGTGTCCGCCGGGGCGCGGAGCCGCCGCCGCCCTCAGAGGATGGCGCAGGAGGCGCAGCACGGCTCGTCCCCGTTGGGCTGCGCCGCGTAGTTCATCTGCCTGACGATCTCGGCGAAGAGCTCGTCCACCGAGGCTTTGTTTTTGGCCGAGGTCTCCATGAAGGGGCAGCTCCACTCCTCGGCCAGCGCTTTGCCCTCCCCGAAGGAGACCTCGCGCTCGCCCTCCAGGTCCACCTTGTTGCCCACCAGGATCATGGGCACCCGCTCGTACCTCTTGACGCGGATGATCTGGTCCCGCATGGGTTTGATGTCCTGGAAGCTCTGCTGGTTCACCAGGCTGTACACCAGGATGAAGCCCTGCCCGTTCTTGATGTAGAGGTCCCGCATGGAGGCGAACTGCTCGGTGCCCGCCGTGTCCAGGATCTCCAGCACGGACGGGGACGAGTCCACCTCGATCTCCTTGCGGTAGAAGTCCTCGATGGTGGGGTCATACTTCTCGATGAAGGAGCCGGTCACGAACTGCACGGTGAGGGCGGACTTGCCCACGCCGCCCGAGCCCAGTACCACCACCTTGTACTCCCGCATGGCTCCCGCCTCCCTCCGCCGCCTCCCGCTCGGGGCTGCCGCGGCGGGCGGGGACGGGGCGGAGGGAGGGAGGGGACGAGGGACGGCCCCGCGCCGGGGCGGGGAAGCGGCGGCCGCGCCTCGCGGAGCGCACCGGGACAGCCCCGGCGCCGGGCAGCGCCCAGGAGGAGGAGGAGGAGGGAAGAGATGAGGAGGGGAGGGACGGAGGGAAGGACAGAGGGCGGCAGCACTGCCGTTACCGGCCCCGGCTCGGCGGCGGCGGGACGGCACTGCCGCGGCCCATGGCGGCTGGCCCCGGCCCCATTGGCTGCGGCGCGCGGCACGTCCCCTCCCATTGGCT